GGTTGAGCGCTGGCCGGCGCTTGCCCCCGGCGGCATAGGCCACCCCCGGCCAAGCTCCGGCCACCGGAGGGGTCGCCGGGGAGAGGCGCGTCAGGGGGAGCCCTCGGAGATGGCAGGGGATGGCCGGAGCGCATCCGGCGACGGTCGTGGCGGACGGCCCCATCAGGTATTGGCGGCACCGGCACCACGAGGCACGGGACGAGGCGGAGAAGAGCGAGGGAGCTCCGTATCCTAGTGGAGGCTCTCCTAGAGGTCGAAGGAGAGGGGGAGGGGCCCTGGTTCGCCGATGGCGAACTTGGTGGCCATGGAGAGGGCAGGAGGGTACGAGGGGGAGTGATTGGGTGTCTGAGAGGTGCACGGGGGAGAGGAGGTTCGAACAGAGGCAAGATAAAGAGTTGGGGTGGCTTAAATGGGCGTGGCCGCGGAGCACTGTGGGCAGTGTCCACGAACGCACTCGGGTGAGGTCGTGGAGGGGAGAGGAGAGAGTTTTAGGAGGGGGCCGGCCGCTTTCCGTGTCCCAGACGCCGAGGCGGCCTCGTGAGACACGCTGGGGAGGCCCGAGGTGGCCAGAGGCGGTTGGCAGGGGGCGGCTACAGTGCGGGACTGCACTGTAGCGTGCTCCATAGCGCCCAAATGGCTGGCATGGCCATTTTCTATGCAATGTGGGCGCCCCCAAGCATGTCCAACAGGTCTAGGAGGGAGTAAAGAAAGGGGGAGGGGCTTTGGATGCCCTGGGTGGCCACTGGAGTGAGGAGGAAGGTTGAGGGAGAGAGAGAAGCTGCTGTCCAGGAAGGTAAATGGGGTGTTTCACCCCTCAATCATTGAGCAATGGCCAGGGGGAGGTTACTGGGGGGTAGAAGAGGGTCAGGAGTAGCTGTGGTACAAAGTTGAGCCCATGGAGATTAGTGGAAGAGGTCAAAAGTGGCATTTTGGTAAAGTGCCAGAAGGTGTTTGATAATGGTTTGGGCAAGTAGATGGTTTCCATTTGTCATGAGACTCCACAGGGTGAAATGACACATACAATTAGGGCCTTCCACCAATTTAGAGATTATTTGGTAAAAGTTGCCAATGTAACTTTTGTAAACCCTAGAAATTAGCAGAAATGAACTTGTGTAGATCTAGTTGAGCAAATCACTTCCCCTTGATGAACCACTTGGTGTAGTGGCCTCATTTGGTCATGTGAACATGACCACAAAAGTTGGGGTCAAGGAGAGAAATTTGGTAGTACAAAGTTGTTCAAATTTGATTCTGGTCAGAGAGGGTTTTGGGGCTTTTTGGTGAACCAAAGTGACCTTAATTGATATGAGGCTTTGCAAGGTGATCACAATATGAATTTTTGACTTGCTGGATTTTCCTTGGATTTTTATGAAAATATTTCCTATAGAAATATTTCAAATCCTTGAAATGGGCAGAAATGGTTTTGGGAGGTTTTGTCCAATAATTTGAACATGACCATGTGTTGAAACTCTTATATATGGAAAATATATGTCCACTGAGTTTGCCTGATTTTTGTCAAATATTTTTGAAACAATAAAATAATTTTTCCCTATTAAAGACCATTTCCGGCCTTAAGAAAAAGCTTTTAAATAAAATAGTAAAATAACTTTTAAAATTACATTTTTGTGGTTTCTGGGTATGATATATCTAATAGGAGTCAAATATATTTTTTGAAAGATTTTTCACACCTCAAATCAAGTACTTGCAGTGCAAATCTCAATTCAGGGGTTTTTGAAAAACTATTTTAAAAAAATACTATTTGGCAAAATTATTTTTGTAAGAAAATACTATACTGTTCTATACACATGGTATGGTCATTGGGCAGAAGTTTGGAGCAAGGGGATGAGGTGTAAGATTTGGAGGATTTATTTGATTTTTAGAGCACTTGCAAACAGCAGTCAAACATTCAATCAAAGCAAAGACAAAACACCCAAAAGTTTTTGTCAAACCACATTTTATCATGATTTATTAGCTTAAGTGTTGTGGCCTGAAAATCAGGGTGTGACAATTAAGGGGTCCTCGGACGACCGGACTATTAACATGGGCCAGACTGTTGGGCTATGAAGATACAAGACATAAGACTTCTTCTTGTGTCCGGATGGGACTCTCCTTTGCGTGGATGGCAAGCTTGGTGATTCATATGTGTAGATTCCTTTCTCCGTAACCGACTTTGTATAACCCTAGTCCCCTCCGGTGTTTATATAAACCGGAGGGTTTAGCCCATAAGGCAGAATCATAATCACATAGGCTAGACTTGTAGCGTTTTAGCCATTACGATCTCGTGGTAGATCGACTCTTGTAATACTCATATTCATTAAGATCAATCAAGTAGGAAGTAGGGTATTACCTCCATAGAGAGGCCCGAACCTGGGTAAACATTGTGTCCCCCGCCTCCTGTTACCATCAGCCTTAGACGCACAGTTCGGGACCCCCTACCCGAGATCCTCCGTTTTTGACACCGATAGGCATGCTGGCCATGGAGGAGGAATGAGGGGCTCCGCCGATGGATTGAGGGGTTCGGGAGAGATCTAGGAGGGTGGGAAGGCTGTTGGTGAGGTCGATGAGGCTCGGGAACTACTTAAATAGCCGGGGCGAGCTCGCCGCATGGGCCTGACCACGGTGACACATCTTCGGTGCTCTGGCGTGACCGCGTATGCATGGGATTGCGGGCAGGCTTGACCGGTGACTAGAGAGGGCCAGAGGAGCTCTAAAGGAGCACGGAGGGGTAGACGCGGGAGGGGCGAAGTCCAGTCGGCCACAATGCTGCGGGCAGGGTCGTCATGGCGTGCTGGGGAGGAAAGGGGAGGGGGAGCGGGGTTCACAACAAGCGCATGGCTGCCACGAAGCTCTGGGACATGCTGGGACGCACGAGAACGATGAGCAGAGGAGGGGCCGGAGCTAAACGATGCTCGGGGTGCGGCCAAATGAAGCAGAGCATGTGTTTAGCATGCCAGACTGCATGGTCACCGCGTGCATCGACGCGTGCATGGCGACTCAGTGTGGCCGACCATGTCCAGCGTGTAGTCCATCCAACATGGTGCCTCTATGAGGTGAATGGATCGACTAAAACGGCCCTGGGTTGGTGGTATGCCTCAGCTAAAGTTTTCCGTGGCAAACTTGGGGAGCAGCTAAGGTAAAATGGGATGGTTACATGGAGTAAAAAGATGTCACAGAGGCTTAAGGTAGGAAGGACTATAACCTGTTAAATTTGAGATGATTTGGACCAACATTTAAGATAGTTGCTTCACAACTGCAGAATCTGGTCAAAACTAGATCATGAAGTGGCACTCACATAGATGATTTGACTGAGCTCAAATTTTGTGGAGAGGAGTTATTTGTGAATATGTAGGCACTGTAAAAATTTCATACCATTTGCATAAATAAAAACTGTACTTGCTTCACAGTGCTTCATTCTGAACAGAATCTTGGGAAAATTATAGATAAATAATGGCTAGATGAAATGAGCCCAAATTTTGCGGAGGGAGGTTATATAGGTAGGAGAAGGTCCTGGTGCTCAGCTAGCGAAGGAACTCGATCGAAAACCAGCCCAGCGAATGAGCGAATGAAGCGCGACGAGCGATCGCGAACAAAAAAAACTCGGGCCAGCCTGATAACTTCACCGCAGAGGAAAGATCTTCAGGGAGACAGAAGAGTCTTGCTTAAAGCGAGAAATAGTCGTCGCGTTCCCCTTGTCACCCTCACAAAATCTAAGTTATCTTCCTATTCACCGACGTGACGGAGCATGTCGGCGTGGCAAAGCCAGGAGGTTGGCCTGATGAGGTGACGACGCAATGATGCCAGGCTAGAATCCGCGAGGCAATAATGTCAGAGCCCCTATGTAGCCAACGTGACAGAGCAAGTCAGGTGGCGGGGCGAGGAGGTCGGCCCGACAAGGTGATGATGTGGTGCGATCGATGTTGGTCCAAACAAATGAAAGCGCTGTTAAGCTTCATGCACTAGCCAACGCAACCAAAAGTCCGAACTGATGGAAAAGGCTAGTGCAATCCACATATGCTGTAACACCCCCTCTCACGTGTGACGGGGAAGACAAGTCAACACGTGCAACCGGAAGAGAGCGACGGCGCGCGAAACTCACGTATGACTCAAGAGGCCTATACGTGGACACAAAGGGGGGCAACAACAATTGTTAGATAAATTGCGAAAGTCAGGATTTGAACTCAAGACCTTAGCTCTGATACCATGTTAAGCTTCATGCACTAGTCAACGCAACCAAAAGTTCGAACTCATGAAAAGGGCTAGCGCAATCCACATATACTGTAACAAGCGTGACAACGCGACACAGGTCGAAATCCATGAGGCGACGATGTTGGCATGGTGATGTCGAATTCAAAGCCAGCTAGCAGAGTTGATGATGCGATGTGGTTGACATTAGCTTGATGAAGTGATGGTGCAGAGATGTTGTTTTTCAAAAATTGTTCAGATGTCAAAAAATGTTTTGTTTTTCATTATTTTTTCACAAGTTAAAAATATGTTCATGTTTCTGAAAAATGTTTGGGAATTTTAAAATGTTTGTGCTTTTAAAACATTGTTCAGATTTTCAAATTTTGGTGTCATTATCGAAATTCGTTCACAAATAAAAAATGATCTCATTTTTTGAAAAATGTTTGAGAATTTCAAAAAAGTTTGTATTTTAAAAATTCTCCCTCTCTTAAAAAAGTTGGTGTTTTTAAATTGTTCTCATTTTTTCTAAAGCTGATTTTATTTTTTCATAAAAAATCGAATCAAAAATTTCGATGTTATTTCAAGAAAACGAAAGATATTATTTTTGGAAAACCGCTGGTACAGCAAGCGTGCAGGCCGCTACAGTCCTTTGTAAATGGGCCGGCCCAGCCGTTGAGGCGTTGGGGCTCTGTTGGGACGTTGAGAGCGTCATATAGGGCCTCCCCCCTTTGCCACCCTCACAAAATCTCGCGCTGTCTTCCCGTTCACCTACCTTCCCGTCCCCTTGCCCTTTCCGTTCCCGCCTCCCCCAACCGCATAGAATGGCCGGCTCCGGCGGCTCTCCCGACGCCGACGATCCCAATTGCGGCGGAGATGAGGCTGAGCCCTCCAGGACTCCTCAAGAATCCGACGACCGCTACTCCGCGCCCGCCTCCCCTCTCAGCACTCGCCCGTCCGGTCAGTCCCCGGGGACCTCGGTCGTCGCCAACGAGGGCTCCGCCTCGTCCTCCGCCACGGGATCTGATGACGAAGACGTGCCCACAGACAGGTACAAGAACCCCGCCGCCGCTTCCTTCCTCTTGGGACCGTCGAGCAGCACCATGGGAGCGTCCTCCTCCTCCTCCTCCTCGGACAGCTGGATCGGCAGCGACCGTACATGCGGCGGCGCCTCGACTTCCAGCTCTCTGGACGCCTCCAACTACATGGGTTTCTACAGGAACCCACCCTCTGAGTGGATGTATACTCAGGTATTGCAAGAAATCCAATGCGTTCTTGATTTGGGAATTTGCAAGAAACCTAGTACGTTCTCGATTTGGGAATCATCTCTGTGGATGCTTTGACCAAGAAAGATTGATCTTGGACTTGTGTGTTTGAATCTTTGTTTGATTATTGTTGCAATTTTAACAGTGCACGGGCTTGGAAAGATTCACGAATTTAGGATCTTGTAGGTGTCCATGCTTAGAAAGATTTGTCAATTTCGATTTTCTGCATTGACGTATACTTGTCTAAAACCCTGCAAATATACAACCTACTGTCCCTTAGATAACAAAAAGAAATGTGAGAGTTGATAGCAAATATTATGCTTTCCCTACTTTCTTGCTAACTCTGTTGGGGATGCCAATGATTTACATGGTCGGTCTTCTGCAAGGCTTGTAAAATCATAGCACTGTTAAAGTCCTATATGATTGCCTCTTTCAGATGTAAGCTGGAAAATAAATTAAAATTTACTCCCTAGCTTGGAAAACGATTTTGGGATGGAGGGAGTATATCTTGCTTCTGCACCTCTTTATATTCCATATTGAAATTTCCACACAAAAAATTCCATATTGAAATTTGTGTGCTTCTGTGTGCGGAGTTGTGCTATTGATGATAAGTTTTGGCTTTGCTCGAGCAATCCAATGGCTTCTATCTTTGCATCCTTCTTCTTGCAAGTGTACATAGCGCGGGTCGTCTTTAGACTGTAGCAATTGTACTAATGCTAAATGGCATTTGTTCATAGTCACTTCTTTTTATGGATTTCACATTTAACAGTCTATGCTATCTTTTGGCTTCATATGAATTTTAGCATTGTAAATTCGCCATGTGTAGAAAAATTGAATGTTTGCATAGATAGGCAGCAACAGAAACATGAATAGTCTGCACCTTTTTCTTTTTGAAAAGGGGGCAATACCCCGGCCCTATGAAAAAGTCTACCTGTGAAGGTTTCTTAGACTCGCTAGCTGAGAATTTTGTTTGTCAAAAATCTTGCTGATTTACATGTCAGATATCTACTCCCTCCGTTCCGATTTACTCGCCGTGGGTTTAGTTCAAATTTGAACTAAAACCACGACGAGTAAATCGGAATGGAGGGAGTATTATCCAACAATTTTATAATACCATATATTAACTTAATATGAATTGTACCACTAATTTCTTTGTTAAATAATACATTTGTTGCCCAGTTATGCAATGGCTACTTACTTTTTGTTGCATTTTTACAAAGCCGATGTTTACAATTGACTCTGTCACCAGCACGAAATCTGAATCAATAACAGATACTGTTATAAGATAAGCTACTCTAAAATGGTTTGCTTACTTTCTTGGTGAACCCTCTTCTATGCTTTAAATACTTGGTGCTCTTGAAGTCCCATATGCTTGTCTCTTTCAGGCATAAGGTAAAAAAAATTGTGGGCATATATAAAAATCACCATCTTTTTTCTTTTCTACTGAATCCATGTTTCTGCAAAAATGTTAGATCTCCTACAGGCTACAACAAGGCTGCAAATAACTAAAAAATATGAACAGTGACTACAGTCCATACTCAGATTGAAACTAGGCATCCTGCAACCTGTTTACACAATTCTTCTTGAAAATGAAAATACTTGCAATTGTTCACAACTTTCTGTAATGACTTCTGAAGCACAACCAGTGCAACACATATCCTAAGTTCCTAACACAAAGTTTTCTACAAGTATGACTGAGATGGGAAGTTTAGGTATGGCCTAGCTAGCTTACAAGATCCACGTTCGTTTTATTAAAGGTACTAGCCATTTGTAATTCATTTAACTCTATTGGAAAATAAAATTTAGAGGCAAAATATGTCTCTTTGTTTATTTTTATCTAGCCTGAACTGAAAAGGCTGTGAGCAACATCAATGAATTGCTCAAGTAGAGAGCAGTCCGCATGTCATAAATCTATATACATACAATCTGAAATAGTTTCCAGTATACTACTGGTTGCGTATTCAAAAATTTGTAAGGCAAAATGATAACCTGTTTCTCTTACTGTTTTTCAAGATTCTAGAGTCTTCTTTCGGGTGGAACGAGTACGAGACTTGTGATGATATGAGGGCTTATTCTGGGAGAGATAAGTACGAGGTGAGGGGCTGTTATTATAATGTATAGTCTAATTGACCATCCCTCCATATTTCTTTGTTAACCTCTTCGTAACTTCAATTTTCTATGGTTTTGCAGCCATCACAAAATTTCAGCAGCACAATTCATCAAAAGGTTAACTTACAGAGGATATTTTCTATTTATCTTATTATGCTCATATGTTGAGACTAGAGATGGATTTGGGAAACTAAGTTAACTTTTTATATACTAATGAATTGAAATCTTCTTTTGGTGCAGGCACCTTTATCAGCTCTAGCAGCTACGCTTATAAGCGAGAATATGAAAGCTCAAACCTATGTAATATGACTTGTGACCCATTATATTTCTCCTTGTTTTTGTTTACTCACTTCTGCTGTGTTTTTATTTATTTCATGGGTTTCTGCAGAAGCTTTTGGCTAATTACTCTGTATATCGGGAAATATGTCCAGATGGGAACTGCTTTTACAGATCTTTCATATTCTCGTATCTTGTAAGTTAATATCTTTTGGATCATTCTTTTTGCTAGAGTTCTTCCAGTTCTGCGCCTTGAAGTTCTTGGCGCTGCACTTAGTGATGATTTCATTTTGTCCCTTGGGTCTACAGGAGCAGCTGGAAGCATCTGCTAACGAGGAACAACGGTTATTTTGTGTACTTGAACCAATGGGGGAGAAGTTTCAAAGTCTTCATTGGTTTGATTCATATTCTGATCTTCATATTGTAAGACTTCTTGCATAGTTTCATCCACCAATTTGTTTAATCTTGAACCGCCATTTGCACTCAAGTCAATTAATAACTTTGTAATTCATCCAGGCTTTTGTGTGCTTCATACTGGAATGTGTGGAACAAACATGAGAACTCTCAGTAAGGTGGGTTTGTATTCAACATTTTTGCAACAACAAAATATGTTGCGTACTTATGTTATAAATGTTGTTGCAGTGCCTATCAAGACTGGCTTTTTCAGGAGAGTCAAAATGAGCAGAAGTTTGCCAACAGTGAGAACATACAACGACTTTCTTAGTTCTCTTGTTACCGCTTTAATTTTCTGACTCCAGCTATTTTTATTGTTTTTAGTTCTCTCGTATCTTCGACTCGTGACAGCTATTGAGATATGCAGCAAGGCTGAAAAGTATAAGCCATTCATACTAGACCCTGGTTATAAGCGTAATTTAGTAGGGGTGAGTCTCTTATCTGCTAGTTATCCTTTTGTGTGATGCAACCGCATAGTTGGAGTGAAAAGTACATCATGTTTCTTATACCAGCAAGGTTTACTGTTTGTTGAAAATTGATACTGTACAATATCTCATTGTTAGATCCCTTATCTTTGTTTGAATTGGCAGTACTGCAGGGCGAATGTTATCCCAATGAAACAAGAGGCGGAACACATCAATCTGTTTGCGCTCACCGATGTCCTGCAGGTTCCCCTCCAGGTTGTCTACATTCAGGATAAACCGACTGAGCCTAACACCCACATCATCTACGAGTCACCAGATTCTTCGGTTCCTACTGTGACACTACTGTATAGACCAGGGCATTATGATATTATCTACGAGAAGTAATAGCTGTAGATTGTAGTAACAGATACCATATGACATGTCACAGGAGAGTTGCTGGCCGCGTGACGATATACTCTATACATGTAGATAACTCTTGTTGTGTACATCGGCTGCACATATGCACTATCACTGTTTTTCTTCCTTACATGTGTGCGGTGAAAAATTCTATAGGAAATTGCATTGTTACCGGTGTACCACTGTTTCTTCGCTATTCTCTAAATATATCACTAGAATATGACCTCTTTCCAAAATGGCACTCAGTTCTCTTATATTCCCAAAAAGCACTGACATTGTTTTCAACACATTGTGCTAGTCAACTCTTGACATGGATCCACGATCCATGGTTTGTTTGAGCCAATTATGGAAGTCTGATCCTTGTAGCAAACCAATTATGGCGGTCTGATGCTGCTGTGATATTTCTAGTTTGTATTGCCATTTAATAGCTGTGATGTCATAAATTTAGCCAAAATGCTGCCAAAACTTGTGCTGGAATGAGCAGCAAGTAGGTAGAACTGCATTTTTCTTGTTATGGTGGGGGTGAAAAGGTGAACAAGTGATGGCAAAGCATATGCTCAGTTGATGACCAAAACGAATGCTATTGTTTTCTGTCATGACCCAAACTTTGCTCTTGCTTGGGTTGGCCATGCCATGCTAAGTTTGCTTGCCAATGTTGATCAAAACATGGCATCAAACCGAGTTACTCCCTCTGTTCCCAAATGTAAGTCATTTTAGAGATTCCAACAAGTGACTACATACGAAGCAAAATGAGTGAATCTACACTCTAAAATATGTCTACATACATCCGTATGTTGTAGTCCATTTGAAATGTCTAAAAAGACTTATATTTAGGAACGGAGGGAATATATTTCATGGTGTGAAAGGTTGAGAAATAAAATGTTTTCTTGACTCCAATAGCTTCGGTCTGTCAATAGAGGTACATTGAGACCGTGAAGGGAAGAAAATATCGACAAACAGTAAACACGGCGACAATATATTACTTGTCCATATACTCGTAGCAGCTAATCATTCAACGGCTCCCTCGAGAAAAAAAGACTAATCACTCAACATATCTCAACAAAAAAACAGCTAATCGTTGAGCATATCTTCCTCCCACGCGGTGCTCCGCCTCTCCCTGAGCCTCTTCAAATACTTGGGCATAAACATCCTAATATACCCATCATGCCCACGACAGAAGGCGGACAGCTCCTTGACGCCACGGCGTGCCAGGGCATCGGCTTCAACGTGCCGGGACAGAGCCGCCAGAGCCCTGATGTAGATCACGTACGCATGCGGATCCATGGGAAAGGTCGCGAGGAGCGCCTCCCCGACGGCCCGGACGCGCTCCAACCCCCCGCCGTTGTTGATCTCGAACTCCATGTAAGCCCTCCAGCCTGACTTGGACCTGAGGGGGCCGCCGCCCTGTACCTGCGCCCACCGTGCCCACCGCTCAAGTGCCCGCCGCTGGCTGTCGACGTCGCCGAACTCGCGCTCCGTCAAGAACCAGCCCCACATGTGCGTCTCTCCATCGGGAAGTGCGGCGAGAGTTCGCTCGTAGACGGCGCGGGCAGCATCGATTCCGCCACCCTCCTCCAGCTCGAACCTGACGAAGCGGCGCCACAGCTCGCCGTTCCCCGGGTCGGCCGCCGTGCCAGACTCGAATTCCGCTCGCTTCGCCTCAGCGGAAATCTCTGTGATCGCTTGATCTGCCATCGATGCGTCTCGTCTGGTCGATCAGTCGTCGAGCCTTGTTTCTGCGACTTTTTTTTGTATGGCACGTCCTTGCTATTTATATGTTGATGATGGTTTCCATCGCTAGGCGGTGCGTCCAATTCCACTTCAAGATCGCGACTCGGAGCTGATTTCCGCGTCCTTAGTCGGGTCGGATCCTAGTGTATCCGACCATATACCATATCCAAAATTTAACCTAAAAACAATCGATTTGGACTTGTTGCTAAAAAAGGTAGCGACCCTCGGTTTGGTCCAGAGGCCCATTCAACTTTTTTTTCGAGCTACTTTAAAAAATGTCATCCTCGGGATAAAAATGCCATGAACAAAATAAAAAATAAAAAATGCCAAACTAAAAGTTTAAAACTGTCATCCTCGAGATAAAAATGCCATGAACAAAAAAAATACACAAAATTATAAATTGAGAAAATGCCATGCTAAAAAAAAGTCATGCTACTTTATAAAACTACCATCCTCTAGATATTTTTTTTTAATTTGGATACGCCCCAAATAAAAATGTCATGCCATTAAAATTTTAAAAATGCCATCCTCTCAAACATTAAAACATGCCATCCTCTAGATAATATTTTATTTGGATATGCCCCAAAAATAAAACTATCATTCCATTAAAAATTTACCCAAATGATAAATGTCACACGTGTGGCACGAAGTAACACCGTCCTGACATTTCTGCAACTAAAATTTCCATCAGAAAAAAAACCCCAAAAAAACTGAAACTTGCCATCAAATAGAAAGTTGTTGTGCTTCACAACTAAAGTTGCCATCATCAGATAACTAAACTTGTCATAAAAAAACATCAGGGGGAACTGCTTCGTGCCACACGTGTGGCACTTATTAGGGTCCTTAAAAATGCCATCCTCTAGATAATATTTTTTTATTTGGATATGCTCCCAAAATAAAACTATCGTGGCATTAAAAATTAAAAAATGCTATCCTCTCAAACATAAAAAATGTCATCCTATTTATAATAAAAAAATGCCATCCTCTCAATAATTAAAATGTCATTTTTCCGCAAACCGGAAGCAGGGGGGGCTTTGCGGGCGTCCATACCATTGCCATGCAAGCGTCCGACAAACTTGGTTCTCCTAAACCCCTCAACCTCACCTGCGCCCTTTCCCGCTCGAAGCGGCTAGCGCCACTCCAGTGCCACATTCATGCTGGCCCAGAGTGGACGCGGGCTCTCACGCCGCTTCGACATTGAAGCGGCGTGCCAGCCGAGAGCGCCGCTTCCCGGTGCATGCAACTGCTCCGTGTTCAAACAACAGCTCGTCTGTCCGCCTACCAACATTAAACTTGAACTTGTGCAGCCGAGGAACCTGCTCCGATGTCACCCGTTCATTCATCTGCTGCCCACCATTAACCACCTCACCGGCTGCCCTACCATCCGCTCGTTATTTAACCTCCAGCCCTGGCCATAGCCGCATCCAACCCTCCTCCGCTCCCTTTCTCCTCTCAGCACCACGCCCGCCATGGCATCCTCGAGCTCCAAAGCCATTTGGGACAGCCTCTTGCTACCTCTTGAGCACTGCGTTGGTTTTCCCTTGAAGATGAAAGGGTGATTCAGCAAAGTAGCATAAGTATTTTCCTCAGTTTTTGAGAACCAAGGTATCAATCCAGTAGGGGGCTCCTCAAAAGTCCCACGCACCTACACAAACAAACAAGAACCTCGCAACCAACACGATAAAGGAGTTGTCAATCCCTTCACGGAAACTTGCAAAAGTGAGATCTGATAGAGATAATAAGATAAGATAAATATTTTTGGTATTTTTATGATATAGATTGGAAAGTAAAGATGCGAATAAAAGTAGATGGAAAACTTATATGATAAAAGATAGACCCGGCGGCCATAGGTTTCACTAGTGGCTTCTCTCAAGATAGCATAAGTATTACGGTGGGTGAACAAATTACTGTCGAGCAATTGATAGAAAAGTGCATAGTTATGAGAGTATCTAGGCATGATCATGTATATAGGCATCACGTCCACAACAAGTAGATCGAAACAATTCTGCATCTACTACTATTACTCCACACATCGACCGACTCCTGCCTGCATCTATAGTATTAAGTTCATAAGAACGGAGTAACGCATTAAGAAGGATGACATGATGTAGAGGGATAAACTCATGCAATATGATATAAACACCATCTTTTTATCCTCGATGGCAACAATACAATACGTGCCTTGCTGCCCCTGCTGTCACTGGGAAAGGACACCGCAAGATTGAACCCAAAGCTAAGCACTTCTCCCATTGCAAGAAAGATCAATCTAGTAGGCCAAACCAAACTGATAATTCGAAGAGACTTGCAAAGATAACCAATCATACATAAAAGAATCCATATGAGATTCAAATATTTCTCATAGATAAACTTGATCATAAACCCACAATTCATCGGATCTCGACAAACACACCGCAAAAAGAGTTACATCGAATAGATCTCCAAGAAGATCAAGGAGAACTTTGTATTGAGATTCAAAGAGAGAGAAGAAGCCATCAAGCTAATAACTATGGACCCGAAGGTCTGTGGTAAACTACTCACAACTCATCGGAGAGG